CAGAGTGCCGGGAGCAGAGTCACGTCCTGCCGTCTGAAGCACACGGGGCGAACCTGGCCCAAACTTCCACAAGACTCTCACATCTCAAAGGCACGGCATGTGTGAATGCACACGTTTACACACCTCCAAGGATCTGTGCTAAGGATCCCTGTAGAAGTGTGCAGACCTGCGGGAAGCACTGGGCGTCCACAGACGGCCAGGGCTGTCCTGCCACTGCACAGCAGCGCCGTCCAGGACTCACCCCCTCTCCCCCACACCTGCTGATGCGGCTGTTTTTGTTCCTAAAAGCTGGGGACACTTGCAGACAGTCCAGGAGGGTGCACGTGGGTCTTTAAATGTCTTTTTGCTCCCTGTTCATCCTGTAGAAATCAGACTGGTGTCCTGGAAATGGGCTGTGCAGAGGACCTGGTTCCGAGGAGGGGCTTCCACAGGAGACACGTGACTGTGTCCACCACAGGACTGTGGTATGCGCTGGCCTGAAGTGAGGTAAGGTCCAGGTCCGCTGCGTTTCATTTCCCACATTAACTCGCTGTTCCAGCAACTGACCACCTACAATCCCGCAGCACGTCAAATAGACAGCTGCTGAAAAAAGTGGCCAGAGTGGGGCCTCCCAACCACACAGAGGAGAAGTCAGACAGGTGGGCAGTCCAGCCCCTGTGGCCCACTAAGTGGAGACCCAACCGGGTGCTCACAGGCAATCAGCTTCCTCTTACTGCTGCTTTCCTAGGACTCCCCAAAACTCTCCGAGATCACTCTCATGATGAGAAGAACTCGGCTGGATTAAAACTCCCGTGGAACTCCACTAATGCCCAACAGTGATGGGCAGCACAGCCCACCGTGACCAGCCAACAGCGGCTCGAAAGAACAGTACCCAGTCTCCACCAGGAGCTGCCCGCCACCCAGAACAGACCTAGGAACGTAGGACATCCCCTGCAGGTTCACACCTGGTGGGAGGGACTCTGCAGACACGTGGAGGGCAGGCAGGGCAGAGCCGGAGCAGGGATGGCCTGGGCATCTGGCTATCTTCCTGCCCACATCTCAGGGCCATCAGTCCTGCTCTCTTGGACCCAGGGGCTATGACCTAATGGGAGCCCAGGGCACCAGGGCAAGCTCCCGACTCAAGCAGGCTGTGCCAGGGCCACAGAGGTGCACATGGGTCGCTCCCATACACCACCGACAGAAACCAGAGCTCAAGTAACAGGCTGCGGGGAGGCAGGCATGGCTCTCCACTCAGGTCTCAGAACCTCCAGCAGCACAGCAAGGACAGCCCAATCCCCGTGACCCGGAAACCCCGGTCAGCACCTCATGCACACCCTTGGTGGGCAGGCTGTGCAGAGGCTCAGCCAGCGGGCATTCACTGACCCAGCTCAAAGACGAAGAGTCAGGCTCCATTAGGGCCAACACACAAACCAGACAGAAGCCAACGGCCAGCCGGCCCTCAGACCTGGGCACACCAGGCCCTTGCTGGGGCCTGTCTGAGCAAGACTGAAGACATCACGTCCCTCCAACCAACAGCAGAAGTACACCCAAGGCAAGCCAAGCAGCAGCTCCAAAGTGAATTTCTAACTATTCTATGATGAAAAACAATGAATTAACTCCTTAAATACCGAGCGCGAGAGCATCCGCATAACCGGGCGATTTGGAGGACTCTCACCCAGAGCACATGCACACATCCTGCAGGTGGACGGGCAGGAGGACTGCAGACCACACCCCGCCACCAAGCCTGGGTCAGCTCAGAGGCACTGTGCTCCGAAAGCTCAGGCCGGGCTCCAACCTCAGCACCTTGAAACAACAAAGATTAGAAAGGGTGGACTCAGTGAAGAGGGCCCCTCTCTCTCCTGGCCCTGCGCCCGGCCTGCCCACTGGCCTAAGCACCAGGTTCCAAGAGCTGCTGTTGGCTTCCACGCCACTTGGGGTCTCTCCACCTTCCTCCCCTGGAGCATAGCCTGGCCACCAGCCTCCCCAACAGCCAGCCCCAGGACGACACCTGCAGCCTGCTCATCTCCACGAGGTCCCTCCATCCAGTCAGGCCCAGGCACTGATGCTGTACCTGCTCTCCCAAGGCTGCAGGGACAGCAGGGCCCCTTTCCGTCTAGGCCTGCGAGGTGCACAGCGCCTTGGTAAAGTCATTATCTGCTCCAGACATTAACTAGGTCTCTTGGTTACACCACGGAGAGCTGAGACCGTGACATGGCTCCCTTTGCTCTCTGCTCTCAAAGAACGCTTGAAGATTTTTCCAGAAACCCCAGTACACAACCAGGCAGCACAGTCCAGGCATCCATGGGACTGGACCCAGGCACCCACTCACACGGCCATGCTCTCTGCAGGGCAAATGACCAGTGACCCACATGTGCTCCCAGAACACATGGTCATCCCCCAGTATCCACAGAGGTGGCTCCAAGATCTTGCTGGACACTGAGACCCACCAAAGCTCGAAGGCTCCCATAATGTGTTCGGGGCTTGCATGTGACCACACGTGTCTCCTGCGGACTTCAGATCATTTCCAGATATCTCAGGTGCCCAGCACTTGCAGACACTGCACTGACAGCGGTCACTCTGCCTTGTCCAGAGAATAGCAACATGCAAAGAGACTACATGTCCAGTGCAGATGCAGGGTTTTAAAAACATTTTCCACTTGCAGTTGGTTGAAATGGCAAGTGCAGAACTGCAGATGGGGAGGACTGGCTGCATTGGGTGCACATCTTTCTCCCCACAAACGGCAGCGGAGCTCAGAGGGTGGCCATGGGCTCCATTCAGCAAAGGCTCCCTCCCTTCAGCACCGTGTGAAATGACATCCCCTCCCTCACCACTTACAAACCTCCCTGTCATGACAAGTTGGGCTGTGCCAGTGGTCACAGCTCCCCAGGCAGTGAGCACTAGGGGAGACCCCAAGAGAGGACGCTGACCGTGCAGGCCACAGGCACTCATGCATGGCCTTGAAGCCCAGCCCTGAGAAGCCCAGCCCTGAGAAGCCCAGCCCTGAGCAAGGTAGCCTGCCTTCACTGAGCACAGCCCCCGACAGGGCGGTCACTGTACACACCACCGCCCACCCGCCTACTCCCTCCCCACGTCCTCCCAGACCACCTTTCTTCTCCCTCGTGGAGCACCTGCTCCAGTATGTCCAGCCTCGGGCACCCACTGCCCATCATCACCACTGTTCACAGATGCTCCTGCGCTGGGCTCTGCACAGCCCTGTTCTTCGCTGTACTACATACACAGGGTCCCTCCCCAGACTTGCTGGTATCACAGGGCCAGCACTTTGGCCAGCGCTCCCTCTCCTCTTCACAGTCTTCCACCAACCCTCATGGTCTCCTTGTCTATCCCCTCCCCTGGGCCCCAGGGTCCTCCATGAAACCCCAGGCTCTGCACAGTGGGTCCCAGCCACTCCCTCCAACAGGCTGGGCTTCCAACACTCACCAGTGCACTGCTTAGAAAACCTCAGTGTGCCTCTATGTCCCCTCTGGTGCCAGCTGCAAAGTCCCTTCTGAAACTCAAATGTCATGCCCCTACTTTAAGGAAATGGGTTGGCTAGAGAACAGGTCCAGCCCTTGACCTGTCCACAACCTCCAGGCCCAGCCTGAAACAGGGAAGGCCATCTGCCTCTCTACCCAGCTATTCCTCAGCCTGCAGGGCCAGGTCACCACTTCACAGCATCGGCCCCATCACCATAGTGAATGACCCAAGACCAGCTTGGGCTGGGCCCACCCTGCACCAGCCCACCTCACTTGACATGTGGCCATGTCCAGGGACTTAGTCTTCCTCAACCAGACATAGCCAAGCCTGACCACAGCCAACACATCCGTGGGAGCCTCATGGTGTACACACCATGCGCACAGTGCCAAGCAGATGACGTGGAATTAAGAGGGCCTCAGACCACGTTAGTGACGTGTGCTCAATAAGGTGATCACACAACCCAGAAGCACCCACACAGGTCACGGGGACCCCATCCCCACTTTAGACCATCTAAGGCATCGGCTGCTTTCTGATCATGTGCCCAGCCTCTTGCACCTTTAGGGCATGCACACAAGAGAGGAGGGCATGGCCCTCGACCAAAAGCCACCCAACAGCACTTACACACTGTGACTTCAGCTAGGCCACACTGGCCTACCTGCAGTGACGTGCCTCCCTGAGGCAGGCCCAGGGCACCCTGGGCATAGCTCCCCTGGGACTGGCAGAGCCTCTGCCGACAGGCGGGTTCACACAGGCTCTCTGGGGCAGCGCTGTGGATGCGTTCCCACCACACCCCTGTGTTCTGTCTCAGGCAGCTCAGCTGCCTGTTTCCAACTATGCACAGTGAAAAATAAATACATAAATGCTTCTGGAACACTACACTCCCAGGAACACAAGGGTACAGCTGGCAAAAGGCAATGACACAGATATTACAAAGAACTATAAGACCAACAGCATCGACTGCGATTTCCAGACCTAAGAGTCTATTTCTCCATCCCAGTTTTAAAAGTTACTCAGGATATCCAACAGTTTCAAGGCTACACAAAGCTAAACTAACTAGCACAGTGTACCACATTTCATTATCACCAAACACCACCCTTCTGAGAAAACAGAGCCAAATGAGTGTCAGTGTTTGACCCAGCAATGCTGAATTTCTGTCCTCCACAATATGCAAGACAGACGCAGCCAGAGCCCCAGGCCCCTGGGTGCCAGCCAGCCCTCCTGTGCACAAGGCCACAGAGCCTGCAACACCCTCCACCTCCCTGGACAAAGGGTGGGTTTGCACATATAGATTCAGTGCGGTCTGGAGGCACAGAAAAACACTGCAAGGGGCATCACCTGAGCACCCTGCAAGGTGCACCAGGCGCTGGAGTGACAAAGAGCAGGAAGCACTGGATCCCTTCATCTCTCACCTCTATTCTGCCACCTGGGCTCAGAAGTCTGAAAATGTATACTACCGCAGTCCACGTGCTGCCTCCTGAAATAAAGGGAAAGCCCCCAAGAATGAGCCCTGCTGACACCTGTCTGCCACAAGAAGCAGAAATACTTACATCTTTTGCCATGTTACCAGATCCAGGAAATCGAGGCTAAAGCTGTGCACCTCCACAGGAGAAAACTGACTCTTCTGGCAGAAAAAAAGGAAAGACAGATGATGAGTAAGAATGAAAAAAGAAGTTTCGCACACACCACGTCTCAAAGGCAATGCCTTCCCCCACCCGCACGCGGGCCTCCGGGCAGTAGGGCCTTCTCTGCCCAATCCTGACAGTGGAGCTGGCCAAGCAGGTCCCACAGAGGGTTTTAGGCCACCTCTCCAAATGGAATCGCACCCCAGGACACCCCGCAGCACCTGCAGTCAGAGGGCCAGTGCAGGACCCCAGCTCCTGGGCCCCGCAGCACAGCGGTCAGGGCTCACTTCCACCCTCCGGGGCACAAGGACACCCCCCTCAACGGGGCACAAGGCCCCACCTGGGCAGGAGGCCCCACCTGGGCAGGAGGCCCGGAGGGGCTCCCCCCGGCTCCCAGCGCAGCGCGCAGGTTCTCCGTCCCACCGAGACCCCCGGAGCCGCGGCCGGCTACTCTGACAGGTGGGCTCCACGGGACCCGCCCGCCTCGACCTGTCACTAGGCCCCGCGGCCCAGCCCCCGCGCGCGCTGCGAAGGCGCGGGGGCGGCCGGGGACCCCCGCCCGCCGCCCGCCGGCCTGCAGAGCCCCGGCGCAGGCCGGGCCG